CCTTAATAGCTACTTTTTGTGGTTCCTATTGCCTTTTGGAAAGTAGGCAAGTTTTTGGCATGCTCATATATCCCATTTGCCGCCTTTTATTTGTCTCCTTGGAGGGATAATACACTGGAAGGCTCCTGCCTTGCTATCTGTCACTGTTTTCTTTCTGCAGAACGTTTGACTGGGAGCACAATTACACCCGCTATGCTTCCATCTTTTAGGCCATGACAATCCTTTCTGAGCCCAGCTTCCTTGTTGGTGGCATCCGCCGATGGAATGTGTCGGATTACCTGATCCTCTGCCTCAGTCCCAAAGCTGATCTAGTTCCTCGATTGTCCCCCTTCCTCCGTGATCCCCTCACACCTATACCAAAGGATCGGGTTATCAGTGAGGGTGACCCAATGGAGACCTTTAAGATCATCAATCCCAAGCCAGTCGATGACCTCTGGCTGTACACGGCACTCCCAATTTCCGTCGATTGGAAGTCAACCGTACTTTATTCTTTTCTTCCGAGATTAATTTTTATTTGTTAGTGGTGCCGTTGATTAACCAACTGGTTTCTGTCTGTCGTTCCGCAAGAAGGCAACTTCTTACTGATTCCACGAAGTCCTATAAATATTTATAGTTGACAGACCGCTTGAAACGAATTTGCCATAGAGTGTTGTACCCATAGCTGTGACCCCAAACCGAGCTTCTTGCGTCCCCTGTGTGTTTTATACCACACGTTGATATTTCTTGCTGATTTCTAAATCCTACTCGCCGTATATTCAGTACGCCTTGTCGGTAACTAAATTGCGCCGTGTCCCCATCGGTGTGGCACACAGAAATTTTGTTTATTCTTATCCTGCACTCCTCGCTTTATCTCTTGTGTGTTTACCGACATTATAAAAGGCCAAGGCCTTACCGTGGAATTTTCATAGTTGGCTTCGGGTCTATTCAGTAATACCGACATACACAGTTGTGCTGGAATGACCATCGCTGTTTTATTTGGCGTAACCAAGGGCCATTTTTCAAGCCGATAGGACACTGCTCATGCCTCAGTGCCTTGAAACCACAAGCAATACCTTCTAATATTTTAAGTTTTAGAGTTGCGAAAATTCTCATGGCTGTATTAATAGGACTTGTTTTCGAGCATTCATTTGCTTTCAATAAATTCTCGCCAGGCCAGCTTTGCTTAGTTTATCACTTCTATAATTGTTTCCTGAATTCTAGCTGTCCGCAGAACAGATTCTCGCGCAATCGGCGGAATTCAGCCAGATGACTGTCGACTTTGAGGTCGAATTCGACTCAGTTGCCGGAAATTTCGTCTGCTATGGTTTGGTTGACGGTCATTGCTGCTCAAGCGCGACAGCTGTTAATGTCGTCATTGCGAGAGCAAATGCCGCTCACCGTCTTCTGGAGTATCTACAAAAGACTCAACCAGTTGTTGGCCTTCTTCTCCCTCCTCCGGAGCGTAAGTTATACTGGTGGTCTCAATTACTCACTTTTAGTTGTTGTGGTGTTCATTCTCACCCGCGACTGAAGAACCCGCACATTATTGAGGTTCGAGAGTTTGGTTCAAATTAGGTTCTCTAGCCCACAACTCGATCTTTTCGTGGTATACCAGTCAGCTGGGCAGCGGTAGCAAGAACAACACATTTAATGTCCATTCAAGATCCCCACGCGGCACTGCTGTTAACGGACTGCGTGACATTCTGCAGGGGAGCTTGTTTTCCGGACCTCCGCCCTACGTATCTTGTTGGCACCGCGGAGGCTTAGTCGCCAGACACAGGGCTGCTTGTCCCATAGCTAGCTTTCACTGGAGGCTGTTTTGTTGTCGGTCACCCGTGAAGGCGCTGTATAGCTTGCAGGTAATACCCCTCCTTCCAGGGATTTCGCACCTTTTGACTCGCTTGCGTCCACATGCATGCCTGTACTTTCAGACTGTCTTCCTCGTTTTCTCCAATTTCTTTGCCAATAGTTCGTACTGTAACATACGTAATGCGCTGACAGTCATGGATCATTGACTGAATTCCTTATATGTCCTTTCAAGTATAAAGGTTCATATAACAGGAGCGCAACAATCATGAGCATGAAGCATAGACTTGATTAACTGCATTCATCCCAGTTTGTTATGAGCGTTCGACTATCACTTCACACGAACACAAGGGACGTTATCTGATTGTTTCAGCGAACAGAACTACGAAGTAGATTGAGGTGGGAAAACTTTTCTTTAAACTGGATCTCATTTCCAAGAATCCAAGTTACAAATTGCTAAAACTTGGGCACTCATACTCTACTGTTCCATGCCAAATTTTAAGACTTAGTACTTTGTTGCGAACAACTAAGGAATGTACTGTTGGTAGTTTTCTTTTCGTGTTAGTAATAAACGTTTGAGCACCAAAAAGTGACGATCCCACTAGTGTCAATACGCGTCCGTCTGACATTGTAGGGTTCAGTCTGACACATCAACAAGACGCCATCGGACTCAAGGTGGGCCCACACTAGGCGTTGTCAATTGTGCTAATAAGCTGTTGCCGCCGTTACTTGTTTTGTTACATGAGATGAGAGGCCAGGTGCACAGCTGACAATGCGTATGCTCTATACAGTCCGACTAGCCCAAGTATGGTCCCACACCGTTTCGCAGACACCGCATTTATTTTTTCTGGGGAATTACCTTTTATAGTGGCTCATTACTATCCTTCTGGTATTCATTGGCACTGGGCGGCCTAACAAGCTTCAGCTTTATCCAGCATCGTACACACTAATTATGGTAAAGACATGCGGTGTTGCTTAAAAATATTGGACGAGACGGTCGGCCAGAGTTAGTAACAAACCTGCACACCGCGATCTATCCTTTCGTTGTCTGAACTAACTACTTCCTGTGTCAGGACGTGCTAAGGAAGACGACCACTTGAGTAATGCTCGAGCTCTTCTCCGATCATGATGATGATACCCTGTTCTTTCTTTGGATTAGCCGACGACGAGCCCTACGTGTCACAGGAAGATTTGATGCACCCTCTGTGGGGTCTCACTGAGGCAACAATTGTCGACAGCCTCATGTGGGGGAAGGAGGAGCGTCAATTCGCCCTGCCTATTGAGCACCTGGAAGCTCATTGCGAAGTCCCGCCACTCCCCGGCCCAAGTAAGCCTTGTTGTCCATTGCGTTCCTCCGCCTCCCTCACTTTCTTACTGGTCCTTCGTTTTCTGGCCTGTTCCCTATGTGTATGCGTCCCGCCTCCACTTATGCTTCTTTTTGTATGTTTTCTGCATGACAGTGATCCTGCACGCAAAACGTTTGCCCCCTATTGCAGCTGCGATGTAACTAACCTGTGCCCTTTAGGCCCGTTTGCCAGCCGAGGAATTACCCAATGTTGGATAAGTGCCTGACCATTTATCATGGGACAACCCTTTGCGTCTTAGTTGGCAACGGGCCTCTGGTCTTTGTTCTGTTTTGTCTTTCATTTCCGGCCTCATTTCCCCTAACTAAATACATTTCTGCCTAGGTACGGCCGATGGAACTTCAAATACCGAATTTGGTGGTTGCTTCCCCTCACAGGAGGTTCTTGAGCACTACATTCAGGCCTACGCCGCCTCTGCAGTTGTCACTCCATTGCGCATTTCCAACAACGCGCTGCCTCGTCCTCTCTGGCCTTTAGCCCGCAAAGCATCTCACGCCTGGGGACTGCTCACGCGCATTGAATTTGAACTGCCGGACAATCTGGAGACGGCCTTCCTCCTTGTTTGCAAACGGGCACCTCTGCCCCGCCTCAAACGCACACTCTACGAGCGCACTGAATTAGGCGTTTTTTACCTTCTCGATCGAGGTAATCTTGGTGAGGAGGCAATGCGACGCCTGCTCGAGGCAGAGATCATCGAGGAGGTGGTAGTGGCTACGGCGGAAGCAAATGAACATCAGATGGAGTCAGCCGAAGGTATGGAGAGCGTAGAGGAGACAACTGGCCATGTTCCCGAACTATCACCGCCGGACGATGGCCTCTCCAGCATGGCCCGCCGGTTTCACGAGACTAGCCAACTGGTCTCCTTTGGCATCAAGCAGGAACCCGAGTGTTGTACATCTGAGCAGCCTTCCGCCGTAGAGGACTGTGTTCTAGTCCGCGCAGAACTCAACCAACCCTCCAATGCCATTGAGATCCTTGACGATCTACCGCATCAATTGATCCCGGGAATCGACTTTTAGCATTTGCATTTTACAAATTCCTGTCACTATATCGTTCGAGGGCTCATCCCTCCATCCATTTTTTATAATATTTGTATCATGAGGACCCCTTCTTTCCCGCAGTACCCCCTTTAAACTCAACCTGATATTTAGAGTTCCGCCCCCCCCCATCCCTACCTTTTACGTCTCTGTACCTGGAAGAAAAAAGCTTGGACGAACGGTCTTTATTTTTGTGTATTTGTTTTCCACTAAGTTGATGCCCGCTCCCAGTGCAGGCCCTATTTCTACCTAAAAATTGCCGCGCTTTACATTAACCATGCTTTGTGGTGGTGCTGATGGTGGTTTCCGTGATGTAAATAAGCCCGTTTGCGCGACGACTACTGTTTTGGTTTTTAACTAATCCCAATGCAGTTCATCTCTTTCCTGCATAGCTACGTCTTGTTTTTGTCTGTTATCTTTTTTCCTGCCCTGCGGGTCTTGTCGCCAATCGTACCTGTGGATCGCTCTGCTCAATGGACGTTCACTGGATTCTCCCCGTTCGTCGTTCACTGGACTTCTCGGCCTAATCATATGGCGATGGTGATTTAAAGTTGACTGGACTTGGTTGGCCCTTCCCATCACATAGGTTTTGAACTTAGGCACTTTACTGGTCTTGTTGAACCTTGAAGTCTTTTGGTTGGTGTAACTGCTACGTAACACCTTTTCAGCCACCAGTCTTTGGTCAACTTCATGTTCGAGTTGATTGGGGACATTATCCTACTACCTCTCGACCTTTTATCACTTGACACCCACCAGAGGCTGGATTTCGCAGTCGTTTGACATCTTCAGTTCTTTTCGTGCATCACTATTACAGATGTGCACGTTGCGCAGTAAACATTTGTGCCAGATTCTGGGAAATTGCCTTAGTCACTCTTAGTTTGAAACCGTCTCTTCCCAATATGAAACGGGTTCGGTACTTCAGTCAGGAAATTTCCCGTTACTCAATAAATTTGACATTCACTCTGTTTATGAAACCAATGAGATGGGTCCCGCCAAAGGCTGGTTCATGTTTGTTCGGCGTCCCATTACGTAAGACCAAAGCATTTGAGATCTGTCAGCATTTTTAGTGCCCTAGAGTACTTAATTCCCTAAGGGGTCTCATTAACCTTATTTTCGTAAGATAGGGTATGGACTCTACCGGAAGGAACTCACTTCTCAAATACTTGACTCAAAAAACTGACTGTTGATCGGACAGTGTACCTTATCTTCCTGTCTTAAAATATACACTTCTCAAAAGGTGTCTTTTTGAGCTTCGTGTGTTTATATCTTCACCCATTCCTCTTCATCTTCAGGCACGCTCTAATTTGGCATCGACTCCTGCACTCTCGGTTTATTACATGCAGACTGAGACATCGCCCTTTAGTGGGATCAACCGATGTCTTCTTTGATGTAGTATATTAGCACAAAACGCAATTGCGTACCTGGCCGACAAGATCTTTGCTTGTCTTGGGGTTAGTTTTTGCCGCATGATGCTATGTACCGGCTCCTTTATTTCGCTCACGGAGTCTGCGACGTCCAGAGGACGGATCGATTTGTCATTCCCATCATCATTGTCCAACGAAACTGCACTGCTGAGGCTTTTGCTGACGCTATAAGTAGTGGTAATCAAGCAGGACGGGTTAGGACCTGTGTAATAATTAAGGGTTCAGTCTTGTATCCACCGTGTTTTCTGCCATCTGAGGCTTCTGTTCCTAACGCGTTTGGAAAGATGCATGTTAGACTGGTGTTTCGGGCCTCTTGGCAGTCGATCTTCCATTTTCTGCAGTGTAACTCCCTTGGCCATTTATCAACAAGATGACCTACGATGCTAAAGCTTGGTGACGTTCTATCCCCAGTTTTCTGTACATCGGACCCGAATTAGTGATTTCTCATGTTTGAGCCAGTCGACTGGTCTCAGGTCGGAAGTAGTTGTAGTTTCTCCGTTGAATGTGATTAACTGCCTTTTGGTTAGCGGCCGTAACATTGCTCCCCATTGTCGTTGGCAAGAAATCGCAACTGTTGGCACCATGCCTTCAAAGAGACTCTAGACAGTAAGAGCCAGGAAGGGGTCGGGAACATCGAGCTGCTTCAGGGTCAACGCATACGGTCCGGGATTTCAAAACTACCGGGTTGGGCGCTCCATCCATTTGACCTCACTGTTCGGTTACGGATGCCGCAATCCCGTGTAGTTAGGGGTCGTCCGGTTATAATCGGGTGGGGTTTTTTTTCCTGTCCGAGGTGGAGTGGGAGGAGTTCTGTGTGCGTTTAGTTCGAAGGCAGACATGTCGGGTTATTTGGTGTTGTATGATCTCGTAGGTTTGTGTGATGACATGGTTGTATAGTTTATTGTGGGCCGATAGATGATTGTGATCTTTAGATGCGCTCCATTATTTCCTTTGACATAGTTTCTTTTGAGGATTCTAAGTAGACTCACATTCGTGGGATCTCGACGCGGTAGAACGCGACCATTAAACTTGCATTTCGTCCACAGGCTTTTGGTTTGATGTTGATTAGTCCGTTAATCCAACATCTCTGTCTACTAAGGAGCACGTTATACTTAAAGCCAGCCAATTCAAGCCAGGGCAAAACTGCTTGATTTTAAACCAGCCTGGCAGGATGTTCTGTCTCCATTGTTTCGGCGGATTATGTGAGCCTTCAAACCCAATTTACAAGAAACGGCGATTGTTCCTCATAAGATGGCCTGTTGATCACCTGCCATTCTCTAAATGGCTTTATTTAGACTGGTTTTCCCTATCTTGGGCGCAGTTTGCGGTCTATGTTCACTGCCCAAATACGCAAGAAGTAAAAGAACCACTTCCTTTTCAGGCATGTGTGCAACCGAACGTGTTGTAGGACTAACACGTCCGGTTGCTTGTCTTGGAATCAAACTGTAGCTTGTTCAGACCTAGTCAGAATTGTCTGTATTGTCCTACAGTTGCTGTTATTCTTTCAGCAAACCACACTGCTCGACCTGCCTGCAGACCACTCAAAGTTTTGCGGTTTTATGTTTCCTGTAAGATCTCGGTATATCATCATTCTATAGATATTTTGCTGCGTGACAGCGATGAGATGGCGTTCTCACTCCACAGTTGTTAGGTACCCAATAGTTCAACCGTCGATTTCGACATACCCACCGTACCAACCACAAATACCCGGGGTTTGACTTCTAGTCAGCCACGTCAGGACGGAACAATTTCGGTGCGTCTACACTGGGACCCGACCTTGTCGTCAGCATGGCCGAGTAGTTCGCCCATTGTACTTGGGAAGCCTCCATTACCCAAGGTATCTGTGTTGACATGCCGTTGATTTAGACTATAGCGGGGGATGGGGAACCTTCGCAGAGTTACTCTCGCGCTCGTCATGCCCAGCATGCACCATTTATGCAGACACTTATGTCGGATTTTCTTAGTCGTCAGGAAGTAGCACGCTTGTTCGTGCAAATATGGTAATAGCATGTTTTTGCCAAAAACTGTTCAACCGTATACCCAAAGAAGTACCAGTCGCATTACTACCAAAAACATGGAGATCGCCGGTGGGACGGCTGGCAATCCAAGCCTCTTTCAGTTGCAGCAGGCGACTGTCGAAAGTTGATTAAACACATGTTTGGGCCTCTAGCTAGTATTTTGGTCCAGAAGTACAATAGGACAATTTTCCGGGCTGTTTTGCAAGCCGGGAGCAGTGACGCTATTCTAATGATTTACGAGCTCGAGCCTGTCAATGCATTATACGTTGTTTCGGGCCGACCACGCCGACCCAGAATTCGAAATAGTTGCCGCATTTAAGGTCCTGTTTCTTTTGGTCGGTGGGCCGCATGCGTCAAGGCAATGCAATCTTTGAGGTTGGCTTGTTCAACCCGAGGTCACGTTGAAATTGTGTTACACTGACCGGCCTAATTCCAAGGCGGAGCACATACGTTTGGGTGTGGCGCCCTCGCAGCTGGTTGCATAGTTATTTGATCGTAAAATGCCAACCACAAAGAGACTAATAAGCATTTTTGTCTTAAGTGTGGCGTCTTCAGCCGGCCATACCCCAAGGTGGAAAAAACCTGAGATGTTGAATATTAATCCACTTAGTCTCTTGATAATTATGCCTCAGGTGATAAAAATCTGTTGTCCGTTCTCCTCCAGTTGCGGTAACGAATGTGCAAAGGCCCAAAAACCACCAGATCTTGACGGATCGTATTAAGTCGAGTTTTGAGTTGACATCCATTTCGTGGCCTCCAACTGCGTATACGCGCTGAATCGAGGGCAGTAACAGTGAACTCGTGGGACTGACGATTAACGAACCAAAACCGAGCAGTATCAAATTCGAGCGATTATGGTCTTGCTTTCTGCACTTGATAGCAACTCGCCGAGATATTCGTGACTGTTCATTATGTCAGACCAATGGGTATTAATTTCCAACAGAACCCATTTCTGCTAAGAAACGCAGCTAGAAAACCCAGGTTTTCCTGGCGTCTATGACGAACTGACTGGTTTATGGTCGTCGTGGTTTGAGGCTTGAAAGGTTACATCCTCAGTGTAATCGGCGATGCTGGAGGCACGTGTTGCTGACAACTAGCCGTCTCTTACGCTGCTCTACATAATGTTTGCACCGAGAGCCTAGCCCAAAGCTGCTATCAAAGTGGTTGTTCGGAGAGACGCTTAAACTGGTTCCACTAACACCTTGCTGCAACAATCGGTGGATGCTGGATAGTAAGTCCTCTAAACAATTCTTATAGCCACGAGTGACACATCCCTTTATCGAACTGGTTGAACATTTATGCAGATGCGTAGAATGATAAGGCAGGGATCTTAGTAAAGCGCCGGCTACCAATTGATTTTCGCGCAAGCAATAAATGAATCGCCTGTTGCAAAAGAGTGATCTCCACACCACGTCTACCGGAGGAGTCTCATTGACCACGGAGTGGATGCGCACCTCCGGGATCTTGGTTTCCTGATAGCTGGAGTCCTTTGTTCTGACTCCAGAGGGGCATCAGACACATATTTTACTGATGAAGGTCATGTTCCGTTTGACTTTGGGTACCGGGGCCGAGGAATGTCCTCAACTTTCCAGCACCCGCTTCCAAATTCCCGTTCCCAACTGAGTAGTTCAGCTCGCATGCCACTTGCCCGCATCATTGGGCTTCGATTTCCGGGCATATCGTTTTCCCAAGCGCCGCAACACGATTCTTCTATCTTTGGTCTTTTAATGGTTTTTTTTAGAGAGGGGAGGTTGAGTACAGGTGTGCCCCCGACAGCTGCCTGAAGCACTTGTTCGAGGTTGTCACTAACACCTTTACCCTAGAAGCCAACTGACGCAGTTATAATGCCACAGTGCTGTCATGGGGCCTTGCAGCACTTTGTAAGACTGTCTGCCAGACCCCAGTCGTCCGCATCGTGGTAGTTCCATCGTTGCTGGCCTGTGGCGGCTTATTCGTCAGACGCAACTTGTTAACTCGCGGAATAGCCACCAGTTAGACTGGCGGTCATATCCAAAGTCGTGTGCGTGTGTCGCTCAGCGATCTGATTTACTTTCAGAACGTTATTAGGACGTTTTGTTTCGTCAGGGAGCCATGAAGGCGTCTTCGTGGCATTCTGTTTATCCTGTTCCACCTTTTTCGTGTTTCAACGCGTGCTTCTTTTGGTGGCTCCTGTGACTGGAGAGCAGTTCAGGTTTTATATATGAGGTCCATTTGCTGATTATCTAATCTGCCCCTTTTACCGCAGCGGGACCTTGTCTGTTTGCCACCGGATAGCCTATAGGTTGTTTGTAGTGGGAAATCTGTATGGTCTTGACTACAACAAATTATACGCCTTGAAGCCCGCTGATTTAGCTGTCGCATGCCATACAACCGTAATTCCGTCATTTGGTGTGATTGGGTCACCGTCCTAGTTGTCAAACTACTTCAAGAGCTTGCGAACCAAAACAGTATCGATGGCGAGTTTTAATGCGAGTAATGCACCATATTGCCTACGACTGCCTCCCCACAGCTGTTGGAACAGCAATTGGAGCGTGTTTTTGTAAGAGACCTCGGTCTGCATTACGTCTCATGACCAGTTGTGGAGAAATCTCGTGGGCCGTTGTTGCCTCATTGAAGTAATGGGGGTATCTGCAGTTTTTAGTTGTTGTACCTTTTGTCCTATTCTACCTCTATAGAATCGTTAGAGCAGAGCCCCGTAGCTGGATGTAGTGACGGTCGCCCTATTAAAATATGCAGTG